AGTTCCGCGTACGAGCCGTAAACAAAGCTGGCCCCGGTGAACCTTCGGATCCGACGCCAACGATCATTGCCAAACCGCGAAACCAAGCGCCCAAGATCGATCGAACGAATCTGGTGGAAGTCCGAATCAAAGCCGGTCAAAACTTCAGTTTCGACGTGAAGGTTTCCGGTGAGCCTCCACCAACGACCAAATGGATGTTGGGCAAACGCGAGGTTCGACCCACCGATCGAATCAAAGTGAAACACGTCGACTACAACACCACCCTCAGCGTCAGAATGGCAACCAGGGCAGAGTCTGGCAAATACACGATCACCGCCGAGAATATAAACGGCATGGACGAGGCAGTGGTCAAAGTCACGGTCCTCGACAAACCGAGCCCGCCTCAAGGACCGCTCAGAGCGACGGACGTGCACGCTGAAGGATGCAAGTTGACCTGGAAACCTCCCGAAGACGACGGTGGTCAACCCATCGACAAGTACGTCGTCGAAAAGATGGACGAAACTACTGGCCGGTGGGTACCGGCGGGTGAAACCGACGGACCGGAAACGTCTCTTCAAGTTGAAGGACTCACACCGGGTCATAAATACAAATTCCGAGTACGCGCGGTCAATAAACAAGGCAAATCGGAACCGCTCACGGCTATGCAAAGCATCGAAGCGAAGAATCCGTTCGGTAAGCGAATTTTTTACCGCGTTTCTCGTCAAATCCGACAAAAACTGAATCGTTCTTCGCGTTCTTTCGCGTCGAAACTGTCATTTTCTTCTTGCAATTTGCAGACGAACCAGGAAAGCCTGGCACGCCGATCGTCAGCGATTACGATTCGACCTTTGTCGAGCTTCAATGGGATCGTCCTCAAGAAGACGGCGGTTCGCCCATTACCGGTTACATCATAGAGAAACGGGACAAATACAGTCCAACTTGGGAGAAATGTGCCGAAGTCGAGGGCGACGTGAATCGTGGAAAGGTCGAGGATCTCGTTGAAGGCACTCACTACGAATTCCGTGTTAGAGCAGTGAACAAGGCCGGTCCGGGAGAACCATCGGACGCTTCCAAATCGCACTTGGCGCGTCCTAAAAATCGTAAGTAATATAATTCGTTACTCTATACACGTTCCACCCTAACGAACGTTTATCATCATTAATTAATTGAAAAAAAATCGCGTTTCTAGTTCCACCAAAGATCGACAGAAAGTACATGTTAGACGTGAAAGTGAAAGCCGGTGGCTTTTATGACTTCGACGTTCCGGTAAGCGGCGAACCACCTCCAACGAAAGAATGGTCGCTGAAGGGCACGGTGGTGTTGCCCAGCGATCGCATCAAGATCGTGAACGAAGACTACAATACCAAAGTTCGCGTAATGGAGGCGAAACGTTCCGATTCCGGCGTGTATACGTTGGAAGCGAAGAACATCAACGGCAGAGACATGGCCACGCTAACCGTGAACGTTCTCGACGTACCAGCTCCGCCGGAGGGTCCGTTGAAGATCGACAACGTGACGAAGAACGGATGCAACTTGAAGTGGCGACCGCCAAAAGACGACGGAGGCTCAGAAATACAGTATTACCAGGTGGAGAAGATGGATACCGAAAATATGCGATGGGTACCGGTGGCCGAAGCTACGACCACCTCCGCTCACGTGGATCACCTGATCGAAGGACACGATTATCAATTCCGCGTCCGTGCCGTGAACAAACAAGGCGAATCTCAACCGCTTACCGGCATGGATACGATCACCGCCAAAGATCCGTTCGATAAACCCGATAAACCGGGCGCACCGGTCGCCACCGACTGGGACAAGGATCACGTCGACTTGGAATGGACGGCACCGAAGAAAGACGGTGGTTCTCCCATAACGGGATACATTATCGAGAAACGACCCCGTTTCGGACAGTGGGAGAAGGCCGTGGAGATTGACGGAAATAAGACGAGCGGCAGGGTACCGGATCTGATAGAAGGTCAAGAGTACGAGTTTCGTGTGATCGCTGTGAACAAAGCCGGTCCTGGTGAACCCTCGGAAGCTTCGTCTCCGATCGTCGCCAAACCACGATTCCGTAAGTAACACGCGCGTTATGTCTTTCGCCGTTTTTAACTCTTCGCGGTATGCAATAAAACTCCAATCGACCGAAGAGTTTCGAAAAATCTCGACGTAATATATTTGATTGCAGTTGCACCGTCGTTCGATCCGCACCTCCTAAACGATCTCGTCGTTCGAGCTGGTCAAAAGATCAGTTACATCATTCCTATTCAAGCTTCGCCTAAGCCTACGGCCACATGGTCATTGGACGGAGCAGTGATAATGGCCGATTCTCGTCATGAAATGTACACTACTCACACCGAGACCACTTTTGAAATTCCATTCTCCGTTCGATCCGATACCGGCCGATACACCTTGACTCTGGAAAACGATCAAGGAAAATTCAGGTAACTATCGATTAAACGTGGTGTAGTAACGCGACGCGATCTCTTCGTAGAATCTCTCTACGTTCGCAACGCAAACGGAAATTGAAATGTTTCAGCGCGAGCGCGAGAGTGACCGTTCTGGATAGACCTTCGCCGCCGCAGAAACCGCTACAGATCAGCAACATCACCAAAGAGGGTTGTCACTTGACTTGGGGTCATCCGTTGGACGACGGAGGTAGTCCCATCTTGCATTACGTCGTCGAAAAGATGGATTTGTCCCGAGGCACATGGTCCGACGCTGGCATGAGCACGGTATTGAGCCACGAAGTAGCCCGCTTGACGCATCGCAAGGAATACCTGTTCCGAGTTAAAGCCGTTAACACCATCGGGGAATCTGATCCCCTCGAAGCACCCAAGAGCATCGTAGCCAAGAACGAATTCGGTTAGCGCAGATCTTTTAATCTCTCGTTTAGCAGTTTTTCTTTTAGTCGTGTTCATTAGCGTTTACCGACGAAACGATCAAACTTTTAGACGAACCAGACGCACCCGGAAAACCACAGATTACCGATTGGGATAAAGATCACGTGGACCTCAAGTGGCCAGCGCCGAGCAGCGACGGCGGCTCGCCGATCACCGGATACATCGTTCAGAAGAAAGAGAAAGGTAGTCCTTACTGGGTGAACGCGGTTCACGTCCCACCGAATCAGACGAGCACCACTGTCCCTGATCTGACGGAAGGACAAGAATACGAGTTCCGTGTGATCGCGGTTAACGCAGCCGGACAATCGGAACCATCGGAACCGAGCGATCTCGTCACCGCCAAGCCTCGATACCGTGAGTTTCGCGAGCGAACGATTTTAGCTCGCGACTTTGGCTAACGAGCAAATTATTCGGTTTCAGTGGCTCCGAAGATCAAAACGCCTTTGCAAGATATTAGAATCAAGGCTGGCCTCATCTTCCACGTTGACATCGATTTCGTCGGTGAGCCGACACCGGAAGTCACTTGGACCGTAGGAAGCAAAGAATTGCAAACGACCGATAGAACGACAGTTACCTCGATCGGCTATCATACGATCGTTCACACCGTTAACGCTCAGCGATCCGATTCCGGCCTGTATCACCTATTGTTGAAGAACAGCAGCGGTATAGACGAAGGTAGCTTCCAAGTGATCGTCCTCGACAGACCAGGCCCACCGGAGGGACCTCTGCAATACGAAGAGATCACCAGCCAGTCGGTTACCTTGTCGTGGAAACCGCCCAAGGATAACGGTGGCAGCGAAATTACGTGAGTAACGACGATCGCTCGAACGGTTCTCGAGTAAAACGAGATGGAACGAAATTACGTAATAACCGTGTACCTTTTTACAGCGGATACGTAATCGAGAAACGTGATCTGACGCACGGAGGTGGTTGGGTACCAGCGGTAACCCACGTTAATCCGAAGTATAATCACGCGACGGTCCCGAGATTGCTCGAAGGTACCACGTACGAGTTTAGAGTGTCCGCGGAGAATCTCCAAGGACGTTCCGAACCGTTGACCACCGACCACTCGATCGTTGCCAAGAATCAATTCGGTAAATCTCGAATAATCCAATCGAAAAAATATAATCCAAAGGCAAAACTAACCGTCCGATATGTTGTGTTCGCGCAGTTGCACCCGGACAACCTGGCAAACCAGAATGCGTCGACGCGGACAAGGATCACATAAAGATCAAATGGACGGCGCCGATCAGCAACGGAGGATCAAAGATCATCGGCTACGACGTGGAGCGACGCGACCGAGCGACCGGTCGTTGGCTGAAATTGAACAAAGAACCCGTGAAGTACGCGGAATATTACGATGACCACGTGACCGAGGGTCATCAGTACGAGTACCGTGTCACTGCTATAAATGCCGCCGGTGCGGGTAAACCTAGCGACACGTCCGCGGTGTTCATCGCGAAACCGATGAAAGAGAAACCGAAATTGAACCTGGACGCGCTGATCGGGCGTAGGATCAAAGTTCGCGCCGGAGAACCGATCAACGTTAACATTCCGTTATCTGGTGCGCCAACGCCAACCATCGAATGGACTAAAGACGCGAAGCCTCTCGTCGAGACTCTACGAATTTCTGTAAGTAACATACGAGTTCGGTCGATATTTCGACGCGACGATATATTTAAACGAGCGCGTTTCGATAATTTTCAGACCGAGACGAAGAGCGATCGTACAAACCTGTTGATCGAAAAATCAGTTCGAGAAGACGGCGGTACATACACGATTACAGCGACGAACGAGTATGGCAAAGATTCGGCCGACATCGAGGTGATCGTCGTGGATAGACCAGGACCACCCCAAGGTCCGCTTCAGTACACCGGCACGACCCAAGAATCCGTGTCCTTGTCCTGGAATCGACCTTTGGACGATGGTGGATCCGACATCACCAATTATATCGTGGAAGTATCAGACTACGGAGCAGACAATTGGCGTCAAACTCCTGGATACTGTCCGAGAACCAGCTACACTGCCAAAGGCCTCAACGAAGGCAAAAAATATGTGTTCCGCGTGCGAGCGGAGAACATGTACGGTGTTTCGGAACCATTGGAAGGGAAACCAGTTATCGCCAAGAGCCCGTACGATCCACCGGATGCACCAAGTCAGCCCGAAATCCTCGGCTACACCCCCAACAGTTGCAGTCTTTTCTGGAATCCGCCCCTCAATACCGGTGGCAAGCCTATCACTGGTAAGAATCCTATATTCGAATTCTTCGAACCTCGATTACCTCGATTTACCTCGATTACAGGATATTACGTGGAGAGACGAGAACGCGGTGGCGAATGGCTCAAGGTTAACAATTATCCGACTCCGAATACGACCTTCACCGTGCAAGACCTTCACGAAGGATCGAAATACGAATTCAGAGTGATCGCTGTTAACGAAGCAGGACCCGGTAAACCCAGCAAACCTACCGAACCGATCACCGCTGGACACCAACGTCGTAAGTAGAACGAAATGATCGCTCGTTCCCCGAACTTTTCGACGGTGCAATTAATCGACGTTAACGATGCAATTTCAGTACGTCCCGATGCCCCCGAACCACCGAAACCCGACAGAATAACGAAAGACTCGGTGACCCTGAGCTGGCGTCCGCCGCGTAGCGACGGTGGTGCCAAGATCAGAGGCTACATAATCCAAATGAAGACCAGAGCTCAGGACGAATGGGACGACGTAAACGGCGCACTGATACCGACCAACGTCTACACGGTACCGAAACTGACGGAAGGCGAGGAGTATCTGTTTAGGGTGATCGCGCTGAACGACGTCGGCAAAAGCGATCCTAGCCGGCCAAGCAATCCGATCGTCGTCGAGGAACAGCCGAACAAACCGGTGATGGACCTCGGCGGAGTTCGCGACATCACCGTCCGTGCCGGAGAAGATTTCTCCATTCACGTGCCTTATATCGGCTTCCCCAAACCCACCGCCACGTGGTTCGCTAACGACGTTGTCAAGGACGAAAGCGATTCACGCGTGCATCAACAGCTGACCGATGATTTCGCTAGGTACCTTCATCGATCTTTGCTCGAATTTCTCTCGAACACGTCGAAGGAAACTTGACGAGGTTTAATTGTTCGATTACAGCCTGGTGGTAAAGAATTCGAAGCGTTCGGACGGTGGACAATACCGTTTGCAGCTACGCAATTCTTCCGGTTTCGATACGGCCACCGTGAACGTTAAAGTCCTCGATCGTCCAAATCCACCCGAGAATCTCCATGCCGACGAATTTGCCGGAGATGCTCTTACCCTCTTCTGGAATCCACCTAAGGACAACGGTGGCGCCGACATTACCAACTACGTGGTGGAGAAACGAGAACCGAAGGGCACATGGTCGAAGGTTCGTTAATCGTATCGTTACTCGTATCGTTACTCGTATCGTTACTCGTATCGTTACTCGTATCGTTACTCGTATCGGACGTCTAATATTTTCCGTTGCGATTACACCAGGTGAGCAGCTATATCACGACACCTTTCGTTCGAGTGAGGAACTTGACGGTAGGAAGCGTATACGAGTTCCGAGTGATGGCCGAAAATCAGTACGGCACTTCCGATCCCGTGACTACGATGGATCCGATCAAGGCTAGACATCCGTTCGATCCACCCGGAGCACCTGGAACTCCGAAAGGCGTCGAAACTACCGAGGACAGCATCACGATCACCTGGACTAAACCTCGTCACGACGGAGGTTCCCCTATCCTCGGATACGTTATCGAGAAACGTCTGCTGAGCGAGGACAAGTGGGTGAAAGCTACCCCGTCTCTCGTTCACGAGACTACTTACAGGTAACGCGCGACCGTTACGTTTTTTTCACTCTAGCAAGTATGAACGCGAATAAAAACTTGTCGACTTTATACAGAGTGACCGGACTGATCGAAAATCACGATTACGAGTTCCGCGTAGCGGCCGAAAACGCGGCTGGTCGTGGACCGTGGAGTTCGAATTCCGACGTGATCAGAGCCCTTGCACCGCCTTGTAAGTATTTCTTCTCGAGAAAGGCTCGATCATAGATCCGTCGATCGTCGACGATTACAACTCTGAACGAAATTCGTTGCAGTCCCGCCAAGGATCACGTCCGATCTGAGCATTCGCGACATGACAGTGATTGCCGGAGAGCCGTTCACGATAACCGTCCCGTACACGGCAAATCCAAAACCGAGACCGAGCTGGTCCATCAACGGCGAAGAAGTCCTTACCGGTGATAGAATCAAATTCGATACCACGGACGTTGCGTCGCAATTCATCAACAAAAAGGCCAAGAGATCAGACACAGGAACGTACACGATATATTTGACCAACACCGTCGGCACGGATTCCGCTTCGTGCAAGGTTCTCGTGGTCGGTAAGCATCGCGCTCAACCACTAGATACGACATCGACGTCTCGCGTTGTCGCAGTTTTAACGTCAGCCAATACTCTGCACCAATTTTCTGACAAACCCAGCTTTCATTCGACGAACGATTCTGTTCTCAGACAAACCGTCACCACCGCAAGCGCCTCTCGATATATCCGACATCACCCCCGAGACCTGTACTCTGTCCTGGAAGCCGCCGTTCGACGACGGTGGTTCACCAGTCACCAATTACGTTGTCGAAAAATTGGATCCGGCCGGCGTAAGTTTCTTCGTTCGTATATCGTATAGATCTCGCGATGGCGACGAATGTTAGCAGAACTTAATGATTTTTCAGTACTGGGTGAAGCTGAGCAGCTTCGTGAGGAACACTCATTACGACGTGATCGGTCTCGAACCAAACCGCCAGTACAATTTCCGCGTTCGCGCGGAGAACCAATACGGAATATCGGAACAGGTAACGCGCGACCGTTACGTTTTTTTCACTCTAGCAAGTATGAACGCGAATAAAAACTTGTCGACTTTATACAGAGTGACCGGACTGATCGAAAATCACGATTACGAGTTCCGCGTAGCGGCCGAAAACGCGGCTGGTCGTGGACCGTGGAGTTCGAATTCCGACGTGATCAGAGCCCTTGCACCGCCTTGTAAGTATTTCTTCTCGAGAAAGGCTCGATCATAGATCCGTCGATCGTCGACGATTACAACTCTGAACGAAATTCGTTGCAGTCCCGCCAAGGATCACGTCCGATCTGAGCATTCGCGACATGACAGTGATTGCCGGAGAGCCGTTCACGATAACCGTCCCGTACACGGCAAATCCAAAACCGAGACCGAGCTGGTCCATCAACGGCGAAGAAGTCCTTACCGGTGATAGAATCAAATTCGATACCACGGACGTTGCGTCGCAATTCATCAACAAAAAGGCCAAGAGATCAGACACAGGAACGTACACGATATATTTGACCAACACCGTCGGCACGGATTCCGCTTCGTGCAAGGTTCTCGTGGTCGGTAAGCATCGCGCTCAACCACTAGATACGACATCGACGTCTCGCGTTGTCGCAGTTTTAACGTCAGCCAATACTCTGCACCAATTTTCTGACAAACCCAGCTTTCATTCGACGAACGATTCTGTTCTCAGACAAACCGTCACCACCGCAAGCGCCTCTCGATATATCCGACATCACCCCCGAGACCTGTACTCTGTCCTGGAAGCCGCCGTTCGACGACGGTGGTTCACCAGTCACCAATTACGTTGTCGAAAAATTGGATCCGGCCGGCGTAAGTTTCTTCGTTCGTATATCGTATAGATCTCGCGATGGCGACGAATGTTAGCAGAACTTAATGATTTTTCAGTACTGGGTGAAGCTGAGCAGCTTCGTGAGGAACACTCATTACGACGTGATCGGTCTCGAACCAAACCGCCAGTACAATTTCCGCGTTCGCGCGGAGAACCAATACGGAATATCGGAACCGTTACAAGCTGACGAACCGATCACCGCTAAATTCCCATTCACGGTACCCGATCCACCTGGACAACCGCGCGTTATCGATTGGGACACCTCGAACGCAACGTTAGTATGGACTCGGCCTATATCCGACGGCGGATCCCGCGTTCAGGTATTCTTCTCTCGTAATTAATAATCATAATATAAATAACGGAGGAAGGAAAATATCGATAACGATCGTTTATATTTTCGTTCTTTCTTCAGGGTTACAAGATCGAATTCCGCGACCCCGCCGACGACGCCCAATGGCGAGTGGCAAACGACTATTTAGTCAAAGACACGACTTACATCTGTTACAATCTGTTGAGCGGACACGAGTACGAGTTCAGAATAAGAGCGAAGAACGCGGCCGGTTTTAGCAAACCTAGTCCACCCTCGCCGCCGTTCAAGTTGAAGAGCAAGTTCAACGTACCTTCGCCACCAGGAACACCGCAGGTAGTTAAAGTGGGTAAAAACTATGTCGATCTGAAGTGGGAGGCTCCGGTGTCGGACGGTGGCAGTCGCATCACCGGTTACATCATCGAGAAACGCGAAGTCGGAAGCGCGTTTTGGGCAAAGTGCAACGAATACAACGTCACCGACACCGAGTACACCGTTTTACATCTGATCGAGCGCGGCGATTACGAGTTCCGAATCTTCGCGGTGAACGCCGCTGGAAGATCCGAACCGAGCTCTTGCACCACACCCGTCAAGATCTGCGAGGTCGAAGGTGGCGAGAAGCCCGAATTCGTCAGAACACTGCCGATCAGTCAAAACATACCGCTCGGAAAAATGCTGGTGCTCGAATGCGAGGCTACCGGAAAGCCTTTGCCCACCGCCAGGTTAGTATTCGTTCAAATAAATCCGCCTATAATCGCTTCGCGTCTAATCGTACGTCGCGTTCTTTTTACGTTCGTTCAGGTGGCTGAAGAACGGCAGAGAGATCACGCCCGGTGGTCGATTCCGAACGGAGGCGTTCGATGGTATCTACAGACTCGTGATATCGGAAGTATGGGACGCGGACGACGGCGATTACAGCTGTCAAGTATCGAATCCTCTCGGTATAGCTACGACCACGTCTCGATTGAAGATCGGTACCCCGCCCCGTATCGAGCGCATGCCGGATGATTTGTATCTGGCCGAAGGCGACAACACCAAGATCAAGATCTACTACAGCGGCGATCAACCTATGGACGTTACTCTGAAGAAGGACGGTCACAAGGTGGTCGAGACCAGTCACATCAAGTACACGGTGTTCGACGAGTATCTCATCATCTTTATAAAGGACATTCAAAAGGACGACGCTGGCGTTTACGATCTGTCGATCTCGAACGACAGCGGTAGCGTGAGCGGCTCCTTCAACGTGAACATCACCGGTCTGCCCGGACCTCCAACCGGCCCTCTCGACGTCACGGACATCAACAAACACACTTGCACGTTGTCCTGGCATCCGCCTAAATTCGACGGTGGACTACGCGTTACTCACTACGTGGTCGAACGTCGCGACGTTAGCCACACACACTGGATCATAGTCTCGTCCTTCTGCAAGGACATCAGCTTCATGGTGCAAGGCCTGACGGAGGGACAAGAGTATCTGTTCCGCGTGATGGCGGTGAACGATAACGGAATGGGACCACCGCTCGAGGGAACGAACCCGATCAAAGCAAAGGCGCCGTTCGATCCGCCGGGTCCCCCGGGAACGCCGAAGGTGACCGAGGTCGGAGGAGACTTCGTGAACCTCTCTTGGGAGAAGCCAGAAACGGATGGCGGTTCAAAGATTCAGGGCTACTGGATCGACAAGCGAGAAGTCGGCAGTCAGACTTGGCAACGCGTCAACGTGGCCATCTGTCTGCCGACTCAGATCAACGTCGTGAACTTGGTCGAAGGAAGGCAGTACGAGTTCCGCGTGTTCGCGCAGAACGCCGCAGGTCTCGGTCCAGAGTCGAAAGCTTCGACCTCGGTGAAAGTTACCGACCCCCAGGCCGCCAAAGCGCCGGAGGTCATTCAGCCGTTGCACAAGGTCAACTGCGTGCAATATCACAACGCGCAATTCCAATGCAAGATCGTCGGTATACCGAAACCGACGATCACATGGTTCAAAGGAGCACGCGAGATCGTCAGCGGTTCCCGATACAACATATACTCGGAGGGCGACACGCACTATTTGATAATCCACGACGTGTTCGGCGAAGACGCGGACGAGTACTTCTGTCGAGCAGTGAACAAGTGCGGCGTAAAATCGACCAAGGGCGAGCTGTTGATCAAGACTCCGCCGAAACTGAACGTACCGCCTCGTTTCCGAGACACCGCGTTCTTCGACAAAGGCGTCAACGTCGTCATCAAGATTCCGTTCACCGGTTACCCGAAACCGAAGATCACCTGGGTCAGAGAGGGCGAGACGATCGAATCGGGAGGACATTACACCGTCGAAGTGAAGGAGAGACACGCCGTCCTCACGATCATAGACGGCAGTCGAATCGATTCGGGTCCGTATCGCATCACCGCCGAGAACGATCTAGGTCAAGACACTGCCATTATCAAGATTCAGATCAGCGACCGACCGGATCCGCCCAGATTCCCGCAAGTGGACAACGTCGGTCACGACTCGTTGGCTCTCAGCTGGAAACCACCAGTTTGGGACGGCGGCAGCAACATCACCAATTATCTGGTCGAGAAGCGAGAACATCCGATGACCAGTTGGATCCGAGTCGGAAACACCAGATTCTGCACGATGGCGGTTACCGGTCTCAGCCCGGGTCACCAATACGACTTCAGGGTGTGCGCCGAAAACATTTACGGCAGATCGGATCCGAGCGAAGTGACGCCTCTGATCACCACCAAAGGTACCGTGAAGAGGGAATTCAAGAAAAAGGAGTACCCGGTGGATGAGACCGGCAAGAAGATTCGCGGACGCAGCGACGAGAAACCGCGCGATTACGATCAATTCGTGTTCGACGTATACAGCAAGTACGTACCGCAGCCGGTCGAGATCAAACACATCTCGGTCTACGACCGATACGACATTCTCGAGGAAATAGGAACCGGCGCGTTCGGCGTGGTTCATCGTTGCCGCGAGCGAGCTACCGGTAACATCTTCGCCGCCAAGTTTATTCCCGTGTCGCACGCGATGGAGAAGGAACTGATCAGGAAAGAAATCGACATAATGAATCAATTGCATCATCCGAAATTGATAAATCTCCACGACGCTTTCGAAGACGACGACGAAATGGTGTTGATATTCGAATTGTGAGTAACCCTCGCTTCTCTAATAGTAACCTCTAATAGTAACCCTCTGATAACTAGCTTCATCTTCTCTAACTCTCGCTCTTTATCTCTGTTCAGCTTATCGGGAGGTGAATTGTTCGAGAGAATCACGGCGGAAGGTTACACCATGTCCGAGGCCGAAGTAATCAATTACATGAGACAGATTTGCGAGGGTGTGAAACATATGCACGAAAAGAACATCATACACCTAGGTAACCGATTATTTCGTTCGCTTCTTTTATCGAACAGAAATTTACAGATTCGGTGGAACGATTTTACCATATCGTTATCTATCTTTCAGACATCAAACCGGAGAACATCATGTGCCAGACTCGCAACAGTACCAACGTGAAATTGATCGATTTTGGTTTGGCGACGAAACTCGACCCGAACGAAGTCGTTAAGATCAGTACCGGCACGGCAGAGTTCGCAGCTCCTGAAATCGTTGAACGCGAACCGGTCGGCTTTTACACGGACATGTGGGCTTGCGGTGTCCTGGCCTACGTTTTGTGAGCAATACTTTTATTTAGTTTTATCGTTATATCGTATGTCTAAAATCGCGAAAACTAACGAGCAAGTTGTACCGATTCCGCAGATTGAGCGGTCTATCGCCATTCGCCGGAGACAACGATATCGAAACTCTGAAGAACGTTAAAGCCTGCGACTGGGACTTCGACGAGGAGGCATTCCGGGACGTATCCGAAGAAGGCAAAGATTTTATCAGACGGTTGCTCGTCAAAAACAAAGAGTACGTTCTCTTTATTATCGATAGCGTAAATATTCGATAGCGGAGAACACGGAGATGTTTTACGCGATACGTTACGTTGATTTTGCAGGAAACGCATGACCGCTCACGAATGCCTGTTGCATCCATGGCTAACCGGTGATCACAGTAATCGCACGACTCCGATTTCGAGCAGTCGATACCTCAGGTTCAGAGACAGACTACGAGCGAAATACGAAAATTGGGACAAATACGTGCTTCCGATTGGTCGATTAGCCGAATACTCGTCGTTGAGGAAATTGTTGATCGAGAAATACAAGATTTACGATTCCTGCTTCGGTAAGGGAGATAAATTGTCGCAGCGTAAACATTTCTCGTGCATTCTTAATAATTCTTAATGATCAACGCAGATCGACGACAAGCAGCGCCAAGGTTCGTCATCAAGCCTACGAGCGCGTTCGCGTACGAGGGACAGAGCGTGAAATTCACTTGCCGCGTGATCGCGATCGCCGCTCCAACCCTCACGTGGTTCCATAACAATCAAGAACTCCGGCAATCCGTCAAGTTTATGAAACGATACCACGGCGATGACTACACCTTCATCATCAACAGAGTGAAACTGGAAGACAGAGGAGAATACGTGATCAGAGCGGAGAATCACTACGGTTACAGAGAAGAGGTCGTTTTCTTGAACGTGCAACGTACGTTTTCACTTTTCTCCATTAATATTTATCACTATTCTTCTTCTAATTAGCGAGGATGATAGCATAACCGTCGATGTGAATTTTCAGCGTTGCCCGTTGAGATTCCGAAATACAGGCCAGAACTGCATCCAGTTCGCAGGAGAGAACCGCTAGGTTACAATGTCTGGTTGGAAACTATCGAATCGGCGCCGAGTTTCACGTTCTTGCTTCGACCGCGTGTCATTCAAGTCAGACAAACGTGCAAACTTCTTTGTTGTCTGAGTGGCAATCCACCGCCAACGGTTAAATGGTACAAGGACAGGGAAGAACTCTCTAAGCATCATTACGCAATGACCAACGCGGACGGTGTAGTCACGATGGAAATAATCGACTGTAAACCGGAAGACAGCGGCAAATATCGTTGTGTCGCGACTAACAAACACGGAAAAGATGAAACTAGCTGCGTGGTCATTGTCGAAGGTACGATTGAAAGTACGCGTTTTACGCGTGTCCGCGCAACACTCATGAAATATTTGTTCGTAGGCACCGGGGAAACCGAGGAGCAAGTTAAATTAGCGCACGACCTCCTACATTCCGGAGGTAGAGATAGACGAATGTAGTAGCCCTTTTCTGTTTCATTTCTCCTTCGATCCTACATTCGTTTAATTATTTTCCCCAGACGATTTGCTAACTTTCTTATTCTCGATCTTGTTTGACGGTAACAAGTACGCTTGTAAAAGTAGTAGTGCCTTTAGGCGCATGTTTTTTTCGACGCTTCGTTAACGCATCCTGTAAATTATGATCGGTTCGATCAAGAAGATGATCGTACCGATTAGCGTATAAAGTAGACGATAGTAACCTGCGTGTCCCTTTTGTTCAAGAGACTAACGAAAAATCGGTGTCTTAAAACATCGTCATTTCCTTCAGATCGAAGATTTATCGAGCAACCGTTGAAACCGGCACCGCCACCGATCATAACGATACACAAATCCAGCGGATACAGCGGGTACAGCTCTACCACCACGCAAGGTCACAGCTATAGCAGTTCTACCACCAAACAAAATTCCACCACCTCCTCTTCTTCCACTTATAAAGTAAGTAGAAATCGAATCCCGATATATCTAGAACGCGACGAACAAGCAAACGATAATACGCGATTAAAACGATTTTATCATAGTCTACAGAGTCCAGCACGGACAAACGAAGCGTCAAGAAATATGGACTCGACGCTACCGGCAGCCCATCTCGCTCCAGGAGTACGACCAAAGAGCTAGCTTGTAAGCGAGAGACATTACTTCGTATTGTAAATGAAATATCGTAATTCTTATCGTAAGCATTATAAAAATGTTTATTTTACCTTCCAAGATCCACCGGACGACTCGATGAGAGCACCGCAATTTACGAAAAAATTGAGCGATCTCACTATCGGTGACGGAGAACAACTGGAACTGAGCGTGAAAGTTGACGGTGATCCGGAACCGCAAATTACCTGGTCGAAGAATGGCAAGGTAAACTTATCTAGCTTAACTTATCGAGTTAATGTCCTAATAAAAACACGAAATCGTTATTCGTTAGACACTGAGCTCGTCGGAGATCATGAGTCTGAAGTACAAAGCCGGAGTTGCCACTCTCGTCATCAACGAAGTCTTCCCCGAAGACGAAGGCGAATACGCGTGTCAAGCGAGCAACAGCATCGGTACTGCAACTACCTCTTGCAAATTGACCATAAAACGTAAGTAACGAGCACGAGGAGATAAGCTGGAGGTAACGTAGTCGATTAAACGTCCGTTCGATCGATACCTTTCAGCGATGACGAACGCACCCGCGAAGAAAAAGACCGACGATAAGCCTCCACAAATCGTGGACCACGTAACGAGCATGTTCGTGAAGGACGGCGAATCCGTAACTTTGAGCTGTCGAATAATCGGCGCGAAGAAGTTCGACGTGGTCTGGCTTCACAATAACAAGGAAATCAAACCAAGCAAGGACTTCCAATACAGCAACGAGGCCAACATCTATAAATTGAACATAGCCGAAATCTTCCCCGAAGATTCTGGTACTTACACCTGCGAGGCATTCAATGACGCAGGAGAAAGCTTCTCGTCGTGCACATTAAATGTACTTGGTACGTTGACGACTATGCTTTCCTCGATCGCTTCACGCGACAAATAGATTGTTCTCTAAATGCCTCGATCTTGATCGTAGTTCCAAACGAAGAACCGAAGAGTCCAGTTTTCACGACATTCCCACAATCTGCAACGATAGGCGAAGGCGAATCGGTTACGTTCGTATGCAAGACTGAAACCGCGCCTCTGAAAGGTAAGCCAGCATCGAATACGGCATCGGAATACATACATAAAATCGTACTTGAACCCTGTACTATACATACCTCCTTACGATGATACAGTAACGTGGCTGAAAGACGGAAAAGCGCTCCCAGAAACCAGCAGCAGGTATCTCTTCAGTTCAGACGGTGACAAATCGTTCGAGTTGCGTATCAAAGCATGCACGGCCAGCGACGTCGGTCAGTACGTCGCTCGTGCGATCGGTAAAAAGGGCGAAACCAACGCCGCTTTCGCCCTAAATGTTACAAGTGCTAACGAACTGTGAATTCGCTGATTTCGTACATGAACAAATCGGAACGCGATAAAGTTGGGTGAGATTCATTTATTTTTTACCGTCCTATCACCCCTCTTCTATCATCGAATAGCGTTGCCATTTGTTCCTCTTCGTATTACTTGTCTCCTTCTAATTCGTTCTTTTTCAGCTTCCACAACATTATTAGGAGAAAATGATGTAAAAATGGACTGTAAAAATTTGTGACTCGCAAATGTACGCGATCACAAAGAACGTGACGCTCGTGTATAAATGAGAAATTGAGAACCTATTGTATTTGCACTGTTCTATATGTAAATTATTCTTGGAACGCTGTACTTTCTTTCTGTGTGTTTATCATATCGCAAAAACAAAAAAATTATGTCGTTATACGGTGAAAAAAAAAGAATCCAAAGCGTTAAACGATACGGATAGCACGCGCAATCTACTACGCTAATACGGGCTTTGCTGTATACACGAAATAGCATATCTTTAAGTACATACAATAATGCATAACGGCAGCGAATGAACGAAAACTAATTCGAAGCGGCAATTATTCGTCGTAGCCAGTCCTGGCAAGATAGCCAGCATCCTCATATATACTAGAACGTTAAATAACACCTTATCTTGCTTGGACGACTATTGTACGAAATAACTCGAAAAACAGATGATACTGCCGTGATGTACGTCCTTATTCCATGTAATCGTACGCACTGTCGTGTTATACATGTTTGAAGACTGCTTCCGTTACAAAATTTACGATAAATAAAAAATAATTCTCAAATATAAAATTATACTTTCGTATGTTTCCTTCGACTCTATCCCTTCCCCTTATGACATCTCAAATTTCAATAAACTTTTGGAGCAAAGTAATCGGACAAATAAGAAATCGTATTAAACTTTATCAAATATTTTCTTTCGCATTAATTTTAAAATTACACGGTATCGTACAATGTAGCAGGATCGATAATATTAATACATCCCAGTTTGGGAATCGACAAATTTTCAAAATCCTTCCTTACCTGTCTATGTACATGCAGATATTGATATTTTTCGTCACGATCGTTGTCCAATATTATCATGTCGATATCAATGACGCGCGCATACCTTATTCGATAGTAATCTTCGTGTGCAATGTTCATAATATTTATAATATTATGTCTCGCGCACTCTTTCGTGCAGCTTTCTTCCTGACAAACTGTCTCCTTAATGTCGATTTTTGATAGGATCGTTTCACCAGAATGATCGCCTAGTCAAAATAATAAACGATTAAATTTATTATAAGAAAAATCAAAATTACTCTTTTTTTTTTTCTATACTTACCGATCAAAAATAACGTTGTATCAGGTGTAAGAAACGCTATGCTTCGTATAGCAGGATTATTGATTGCTATAGTATCCCAATAGTTTGTTTCTACGGAATAAATATAAAGGGATGATTTTAATAAAAATAACTTTCCATTTAGAACACAATATGGAGGAACTTCGGTAAAGCTTTCAGGAATTATACTTGCAGATTTTGTCCAATTACCTAAAAACCATTCGATGTATTCTCGTATAATTTAGATTTTTACAATTATTTTATAATTTTTGCAAAGATATTTCTAACCCGTGTGAATGTGTAGAATGTCGACTGTTAACAATTTCAATCTATGCCTCCCTACGCCACCTACTACAACTAATTTGTCCTTCAGAAATACGGCAACCATATGCCTCCTGGGAACAGGTAAACGTGCTTGGTAATACCACTTTTTAGATAAAAGACAATAACGCCAAATAATGTCGTTAAATTTCCCAGTTCCCAATCCCATTTCTCCTCCAATTGTATAAATGTTGAAACCTGAAACATTATTTTTGATCATTGTTAATCTTTTCCTTAAAAATTAATCCAACAGCGTATACTCTATGGCATACCTCTACCAGCTATTTGCATCCCGATTATTAAGTTTCCTGAGTCTCCTATATTTTTTAATCGAACGCATTTGCTTAAATTGTCACCATTCCAGGTATATAAAAATATATCCTTAACGACAGATTCTTGTGTATTACAAACGACACTGCCTCGTATAAACTTCAATTGGCTTTTATCTTTTATTTCTGCAATGTCCGTTGTCTGAAATTAAAATATTTTAAAATATGCTATGGAAGTATTACAAATAATATTACCCCGTGGTACATTTTCCATTCGTCTCTTACAAACTTCAGGTACTCGGTAGAAGATCTTATGTTTACGTTTGTAATTAAACGAGTAATATTATCTTTGGTTAATTCGGTAAGCGAATGTACAGGCAACTCTTCAAAACGATCTAAACAAATTGAGAGACAAATATCTTGTAACGCTTTTATACTCAATTCTTGAGCCAAAAGCCATATATCAATTATTTTCTCTGGTAAGAGCCAATGAGAAATTATAATGTCTGTAACATCGTTTGTTAAATCATCAGCCATAAACAACAAACTTAATTGTAATAAACTTAATAATTCCGTAAAATTATTTTTTATAAATTTTATCATGGAAACTTTGACAGGACTATAGTGCATGTATACAGGTGTTTCGTCATCGTGAATCCATTCCACAAAATTCTAAGAGCAAAAAATGAATTATCAACATAACATATGAGAACTTTGCATAAATTAGCATTAATGAAAAGCAAAGAGAACCTGTAAAGTACAAAAGGTAACGTTATAGTTGATAACATGTTCGTTACTATGTGAATCGTTAAAATTGTGTGAGAAAAGCGACGCAAAATAACAGCTCCTGGATGCAAGTTTTTCCTTAATGACTTCTATTCGATTTTCATTGAGAATCAACGTTATATTTCCCTCCATAGTACATAGTTTACCCTTCAGTTCATTCGGCCTTGTCTCAATTATATTAATAAAAAAATGATACACGTGGCGCCGTCCTGTGGCATTGTGGAAAAACTAATGAAACTACAGTTTCAAAAACGTATAATTTACCCTGTTCGCCGCTAGATGGCGCCACAAATTTTCTCCATAAAATGACATATTTTTCATTTTCTTTATTAAAGCTTTCAGGAAACTTTTATTGCTTTATTTAGGTTCTAATGTGATCGCATAGCACTTTCTGACCCTCAGAAGTACTCAATGTTCGCTGATTTTCGGGAAAATCGCATATTTCTATTTTTGTAGTTCCAACTTTCACCGCTAGATGGACGGCAATTTTTTAGTCCATGAAATGGGCTATTTTTCTATTTTCTTTAATAATGGTCCTAGCAGGCTATAATTAGATTCGTTCGATTCCTTAGGCCGCAAGGAACAATTTGTATATCTCGGAATTTTGGAAAAGTCCCTAGGTTTCGAGAAAATCGGGATTTTCTATTTTTGTAGTTCCAACTTTCACCGCTAGATGGACGGCAATTTTTTAGTCCATGAAATGGGCTATTTTTCTATTTTCTTTAATAATGGTCCTAGCAGGCTATAATTAGATTCGTTCGATTCCTTAGGCCGCAAGGAACAATTTGTATATCTCGGAATTTTGGAAAAGTCCCTAGGTTTCGAGAAAATCGGGATTTTCTATTTTTGTAGTTCCAACTTTCACCGCTAGATGGACGGCAATTTTTTAGTCCATGAAATGGGCTATTTTTCTATTTTCTTTAATAATGGTCCTAGCAGGCTATAATTAGATTCGTTCGATTCCTTAGGCCGCAAGGAACAATTTGTATATCTCGGAATTTTGGAAAAGTCCCTAGGTTTCGAGAAAATCGGGATTTTCTATTTTTGTAGTTCCAACTTTCACCGCTAGATGGACGGCAATTTTTTAGTCCATGAAATGGGCTATTTTTCTATTTTCTTTAATAATGGTCCTAGCAGGCTATAATTAGATTCGTTCGATTCCTTAGGCCGCAAGGAACAATTTGTATATCTCGGAATTTTGGAAAAGTCCCTAGGTTTCGAGAAAATCGGGATTTTCTATTTTTGTAGTTCCAACTTTCACCGCTAGATGGACGGCAATTTTTTAGTCCATGAAATGGGCTATTTTTCTATTTTCTTTAATAATGGTCCTAGCAGGCTATAATTAGATTCGTTCGATTCCTTAGGCCGCAAGGAACAATTTGTATATCTCGGAATTTTGGAAAAGTCCCTAGGTTTCGAGAAAATCGGGATTTTCTATTTTTGTAGTTCCAACTTTCACCGCTAGATGGACGGCAATTTTTTAGTCCATGAAATGGGCTATTTTTCTATTTTCTTTAATAATGGTCCTAGCAGGCTATAATTAGATTCGTTCGATTCCTTAGGCCGCAAGGAACAATTTGTATATCTCGGAATTTTGGAAAAGTCCCTAGGTTTCGAGAAAATCGGGATTTTCTATTTTTGTAGTTCCAACTTTCACCGCTAGATGGACGGCAATTTTTTAGTCCATGAAATGGGCTATTTTTCTATTTTCTTTAATAATGGTCCTAGCAGGCTATAATTAGATTCGTTCGATTCCTTAGGCCGCAAGGAACAATTTGTATATCTCGGAATTTTGGAAAAGTCCCTAGGTTTCGAGAAAATCGGGATTTTCTATTTTTGTAGTTCCAACTTTCACCGCTAGATGGACGGGCTAGATGGCGCCACCTGTACCGTTTTCGACCGAATTCGACAAAAATTGATTTTCTGGCTTTATTAGGCATCAAAACGCATCAAACCCTAATAGAAATTTGTTTCTAAATGCCTCAGGAACCATACTACGTCGACGAAGTGCCGAAATTTTCATTTTTTTATTTTCCTTATATGCGTGTTCGGACCCTCATTTTTTAGGATCAGTTTTTTCGGTGGTTATTCGTCCGTGGCAAGTCCGATTTAAAATTTTTTTTTCTATGTCCATCTGGATGTACATACGCATGTGTATGCAAAATTTGACGAGAATTGGTTGAGTGGTGCAAAAGAAAAACGCGGGCAAAGAAGTTGCAAAGTCAAGTATAAGAGCTTCTCTCGCCTTCGGCTCACTTGCTCAATAAAATATATTAAGTCATTTGATGTACAAAAGTGTTTGAAAATAAATATGAAATGAATACCTACCTATTTGCATACCTACTTACTTATAAATCCCATCATTCTGGGAAATTTAATTCGAGCAAAACTATTTTCGTATTAATCTTTAATAATTTGGAATATATTTGTAATCAATTTTCTTTACATTACTAATATTGTCTTTTCAGGTATTTTTATCAATTTTACGCCGTGGAAAAGTTGAAAGAGAAAAGAATATACCAATGATTGTTCTACAAAATACGTTTGAAGAATATGTATTACGGAAATGATTATTACACATAACTTAGAAGAAACTGAAAATCTATATTTCACAAGAAATTACAGATGAATGTGTTACAAAGATATGACAAAATGTTTATTAAACATAAATTACTGGTGAATATGCAGGTTTAAACTATTCTTTTTCGACTGCCATACTTTTACACTATGCGCATGCGCACCCCCGATTCTTTTGATTTGGACATTTAAATTGGTTGCATTCTCTGTCTCTCTCTAAGAGGTAGGTTTCCTTGTCTAGCATCGTATCTTGTTATATGTATCTACTCTTTGCTGTAGATATGTACCACTTTGGTGATTAAGAAGTTCTCTAGGCTCTGAGCTGCACAAAACACTGTTTAGTTAAATTCCGTCTCTCGTGAAACAGATTATACATATTTTTATAATAGCTGCATCGTCGTTGCACTTATACTATATAATATCCCTTCTAGGGGTATTTCGCTACAGAATACTACTCAAACAGAGAGAGCAATATAGAGAGAAGAAAATACGCACACTGCATATTTTCCATTCCCTTCGTATCTTCATCTTCTTTATTTGCCTCTTCGCACAGGAGTTCATAATTCCATTTAGGATAGAGCTTAATGATTTTCGCGTATTACGGTATAAAATAATTGGCTTCCTAAATACAGCTAAAAATTATTTGAACTTTATCTCATGAATGCATGATGCATCAATGTGCACGGATGTAATGTCCATGCATCAAACATAGACGCTTCGGGCAGCTTCATATCGTCGCAATTCGAAGAAAATGAAATATTGAATTTATGGTTGCCTCGGATGGAAAAATTTCGTGAAACATCTGAGTTATGTTAACATTGATGTACTTTACTGCAAACATCTCCATAATATAAAGACATAATGGATCAAAAACTTATTGACAAATTTGTCGAAGTAACAGGTAAAAGATACATTTTTTTTAATGATTACTTAACGTAAATTAAATTTTCGTAATTTTCTGCTTTTATCATAATATATTATTGCTGTTAACTGTATGAAAATAAAGTACTCTAAATATGTTTATTTATTAATTATCAGGAGAGGGTGAAGCAACAGCGCGTCAATATCTATCGTTAACCGATGGGAATGTAGAAGCTGCAATAAGTTTAATGTTCGAGGGAGGACCAGCACAGGAACCACCGGTTCCTGCTGATGCTCCTGATGTTGAATCCGAAGTGAGACCTCCCATTTTACCTACGCAAGAAATATTGGTACCATCGGGTCCAGTATGTTCGCTTCCAAGATTATCGACTAATGTATTTGATAGATTTAGAGATTTTGCAGTGGAGACTCGTAAATATCATTTTATTTATATTTAAATTAAGTACCATACAATGTATATATTTTTAAAAATGTTATAATTTTACATAGAACGACAAGAGGAAGAAATGGCATGTAAAGTAGCCGGTGTAAAGCAGATGTCTTACTGTAAATCCAAAAGGTTGGAAGACTTATTTCGTCCTCCGTGTAATATCCTCTTCTTAGGTTCTTTTATTGAAGCTCGTGAACATGCCAAGACATTAAATCGTTGGTTGCTTGTAAATATTCAAAATCCTCAAGAATTTTCATGCCAAATTCTTAATAGAGACGTATGGTCGAATCAACAAATACAAGAAATTGTAAAGGATCATTTTGTTTTGTGGCAAGTAAGTTGTTAAATAATATTTCTTAATAAATATGGTATAATGTATATTAAGTATTGCCTATATCCTAATATGTATATGTAAATAGGTTTTGTCAAATACAAGCGATGGAAGTCATTATGTACATCTTTATGATGTGTATGAATACCCATATTTAGCAATAATAGATCCTAGAACAGGAGAATGCATGCAGACTTATCATCATATTACCGTAGATATTTTAATGTCTGCTTTAAATGATATGCTCAGCACTCATCCATCACCAGAATGTGTATCATTTGACACCCTTAATTCTAAAGACTGGAATAGTACTGCTACAATAACAAAAGAAAATGCACCTAATTTATCGGTACATAAACTAATTTTTATATTCATACAGTATAAACTTCAGTGCCCTACTGTTTCATTTGTTTAAAGTGGTATGTTTGCTTATAGGATTGCAGTAGTCGTACTTTGAAATCTTCTAAACATATGATTGATATTTTAAGAGAATCAGGTAACTTATATTAACAAAGTATGTCTAATTCATGTATATTTCTTTATAATTCATTTATATATAGATTATTATACTTACAGACAGTACTATTGATGCAACAACGAGTCAAAGCTCAAGTACAAGTACGGCGACTGACGTCTTTCAGAATATAAGCAAAAAAAGAAGAATGGATGAATCTGATTTAAGTGATCCAGTTCAAAAAGTAAATTCAAAAGTATGTTTAAAAATCTATACAATTTATCGTCTATACCATTTACAATAAAATATAAAAATCGTTCTAGGATGATCAATCGTGCGAAGAGAAGAGCGATTCTAACGTAACTAAAAGTGGTAATAAATTCTTACATTTAAATTCTATGTTATAATCAAATTTTAAATGTTAGTAAGAATATGCTTTTTGCGTAGATAATGCATCTTCTGTAAGACTTTGTTTAAGACTACCAAATGGTAAAAAGGAAACGATATTGATGTCTGCGATAAACACGATAGAAGTAGGTTTATTAAATTTATTATTTATAACTGTAATAAATTTAATATAAAACGTGTGTATATGTAACTCTTTGCTTTTTAGGATTTTATTAACAAAATGGACAGAATGGGCTATTCGTCGACCGATCACACTTACTTGGTACCATTTCCAAAAACAAATATTGGAATGCTTTCTCCAGAAACACTCTTATCAGATACTATTTTATCTCCAGCGAATACAGTATTTATAACAAAGATACAATAATTTTATTAGATGATTTAACTCTTTCACAAATCAATATTTTATTCACTCGAATTGATTGTTCCGCTATTGCAAATAAGATATGAGAGAAGATCAAATACACTGTAAATTCAAGAAAGGACATTCTTGCAACTTAAAAGGAAATATTACATATGGATATGCATTATTATACGTGTTCAACTAGTATTTATGGTTATTTAATATTATTATTATTATTATTATTATTACTATTACATTATATACCAATTTTCAAGAAATCCTGAACAAAGAAGTGGAATTTATAATAAAAAGGAATTTAACTCGATTTACTTTTATACAAATAGAAATAACAAAATTCCATATATAGATAAAAGGATGATAGATCACGATAAAAAATGCTCTTATATTCTCTTGCAATTTTAGAATTGATTACCAAATAATTTTCATAAATACGGTTTTTTTCTCTTATCGATGCGATTATGCTGTGATCGTATGTATTTCTTTTGTTAGTAACGAAGACAGATATACGATTCTATAACGAGAACGCACGGAAAAAAGTTGCTCGTGTGTTTTGAAGGTGAGATCGCGTCTTAGTTGTGCTGTTTATTATTTAAAATTCATTTGTTTGTTCCATATTTCTTTTATTTTCCAAGATTACAAAATTTTAAATGTGATATGGTAAATAAAAATTTTCCAACCAAAATCGTACCATGAATTTATTGTTCTTAGAATTAAGATAAAGAAACAACTTTTTTCCATCCTTATGGATCTTTTATTTAGTTAGCAAAACAGATAAACGTATATATAAACAAAGTTGTATGCTTTGGAATAAGTATCGGTGAATAAGTATTCTATTATCAGTAAAATTCGATAGTAATTAATAATTATATATACATTCATTACCAATTGTAGTTATAAATTTTTGTACAAAATAGATAGTTAATGAAGCGATTGGATAGTAGTTGTCTGCTTGCGAAAGGCTATACCAGTCACATCTTCTGTATAATGAAATAGAAAAGAATAATGAAAAATTAGGTACGATGATAAGATATATGTGTTAGTAAAAATTAAAATCATAAACACTTTGAAAAATAATTGGCAGTATACAGTTCAATCTTACTGAATGTTACTTGTCATACATTAAGCATAAATGAAATAACATTCTTACTACATATAATACATTATATATATTTTAAATATTTAATAATATACATATTTAATAAATAGATTATACACATAAATAAAGGGAAATACAAAATGAGTAAAATTCATAATTTTCAAAATTATATAAAACTAGTAAATAAGAATAAGACAATCTTAAAACCGTAACAGATGACTGAATTATACATTGTAGGATCACAGATTATACACATCTCCTTACAATCGCTAACATCAATTACTTCAAATATTTTATAGGATTCTTCAGAAGTATCGAACATGCATTCTATTGAGTCGTTAACAGTTTAAATACTACATGAACATTATATTAAATAACTTTTTACAAATTCATATTTATAATATAACATAGCCTAGTGAAGAAAGCTCGAATCTTTTTTATCCATGTTTCGATATTAGTACAGACAAAAGGATATATGCCCTTTTTCAGAGAGACAAAGCAAAGCTTAACAATGTAATGTTATATAAATGTAAACTTATGTAAAAAATTCTTCTTTCATACCGAAATAATTTAAAATTGCTCCCATTGGTGTACGTTCTAATCCCATTCCTTCTAACTTGTTAACAACCTTATTTTTTAAACTTCTTAATCTCAATGATGCATGTACAAAAGTTACTGAAACATAAATATCAAACTGTTATATCGGTAGAATTTCATATTACATTATTTGTTAGAAAATCAGACTCACCACAAAATGATAAAAGAATACTAAATAACAAAAACACAACCGAATTTAGAGTATACACAATAAAACCTCCACAAATAACAGTAAGAATAATTCCAACTTGTGGATACGATCTCTTAATCTTTAGCAACGATTCTTGTTCGCTAAATAAATAGATACATTCAACCCATATTGCCATCATTGCCGATAAGCCAATAATCATTCTCATTGGGTTTACTGATCTGAATAAACGAAAAAACTCCTTACTATGAAATCCCATTTTATTCATGATATTCAATGCTATTATACTTACGCTACAATAAGAATAATAACAATGCACATATAGAGATAATTGGTTTGATAATATACAAGATTGTTCACTACTCTGTTGCTCCATTTCTCCAAATCTTTGAAATTAGGTAGCTGAAAACGTGACGATTCCAAAAGAAAATCGTTCAAACCACGAAGTGGTGGTAATTCACACTTATTATCGCTTAGTGATTTTGCTTTATCCATTCCGGTGATGTTTCGTACGCAATCGAGTGAAATTGAAAAACTTGATTCCCACAATCACACTGTAGTAGTAAAGCACTTGACTAATCGTTCGATATTTTTGGACGATGACGACTACAAGATAAATGTCATGCACGATTGACGATATCAACAACCCCTATGTAGATGAATAATTAACTGAATCATTTAATACGTTAAATGTTTATTGTATGCAGTATCGTAAATTAAAGCTTTATGTAATTCAAGGAAAATCAATGTCGCGTATTGTGAAAATCACTTATTTTGTAAAGAAATTTTGGAAGTTTGCTTAGCTCGCTTAGCTCGCTTAGCTGCAGTCATTTACTGAACGCTGAGACTACACGAAAGTCAGGACAGTATTTATATTAGGAATGTGCAAATAGCGCGTGTTTTAAAAATCCACTGTTTAATATACGAATCGAGTAACAATAATGTTTTATTAATTAAATAAAAACAAAAAATGTTAATCATATATTTCAGTATTTAACAATACATGCATGTATATGTAATTTAAAGTCCTTTTTTTCCAGACGGATAATTTTATATTTATTCCATTAGAAATACAAGTTTATTTTTTGATCACTTACATCGATGATATTAATATTAAACATATTAAAATAAATTGTAATATGCATCACGAATCTCATAATCGGTCAATTATATAAAAAGGCACACAACTTTCATTGTACTGAACAATGAAAATGATTAATTAATAACGTCACAGGCATCGATCCAATCGTTATACACATCAACTGGTTCAGATAGTATGTTAATATTAGTTTGGTAATCTTCTAAACAAACACGGCAAACAATTCTTGCTGTATTTTTACTTTTTTCCCTAAAAGTATATTTAAATATTAAAAATTTTCGTAATAAACAACTTTTCGTTAAAATCGAGGAAAGTTACATCTTGACTTCACACGATTTTTCGTGGTTACAAAATGGGCATGTAAATTGTACATCTAAAGGCTCAATAGCCTTTCTTTTTTGCGGAGCTTGTCGTTTACTTTTCCTTCGACCCATTCTAAGCAAATCCTTTACCACTTCAAATTCTAGAAATATAATTGTTACATGAATTTTACATGGTTTATAAAAATAATTTATCCGTAAATGTGTAGATAATTGATGATTATAAAAACACTTACTGCGAAATAACCGCGAATCTTTAGTGAACGATTTTAACGTACAAATAAAGGTACGCACTTCAGACTGTGATATCCAGGAATTTCGAAAGGTTACAAATACCGTTAGCATTTAATATGATTTCGAACCGTTAAAATTCGATACAGTTTAGGTACAATGACTACATTAATTGTACCGTAATCGTTCTCAGGGCAAATATTAATATTAAATTTAAAAGAATAATAACAAAATAACATGCATTGTTTGTAAAATGATAACCTTTAATACGTATATTTCGATAAAATTGAAAATGCATAGGAAGTATTCAATATAAAATGAAAATCAAAAGCGATAGAAATTAGTTTAAGAGAATTTCAAATTTATGAAACATACAAACAAGTAAATGAGTACGTTTCAAAATTTTATATTAAATCATTATAGTTTATTTTTCGTATAATTAAATATTAATAACACGCGACAATTTCTGCACCCTATTAAGTAATAGATCTCCTTGTTTGACCATAGCTTGATACTGCCAATTTTTACTGTCTGGCCTATTAGTTTCAACTACACCTCCAACACGGTCAACTTTGCAATGTAATCTTCCTGCTGCAATGAAACGCGATATCTCTCTGCAACAAATAATTAAAACCATAAACGTGTACATACATCATATGTACAGTATGAATTATATAAAGTAAAAGAAAAGATAACGATATAACTTACTGATCGATATATTCGAGTGTAACACCAAACGCTTCTGCCATGTATTGAAGAGTCAAAGACCTGTAGGATTCCAGAAGCTGCGTGTACGCAAGAATACGCATTTCTCTAACATAATACCGATAATGAGGAAATATTAAATAATCTCGACGTAATAAACCTTCTACATGTGCTAAAACACAATAACACGTTATTATTACACGTTAACATACTTTGTATATTTACGAATTTTAGGAAACGAATAGAATTTGTTGGTACCAAGATTTTTAAAGAAATCAGCATAGTGGCAGTTGTATAGAGAAAATAAATAATCCTTAACATCTGGATTGCTGTGAAGTACTTCCAAAATTTCTGAACCTTTGATAATTTTATCTCTAAGTTCGTTTCTAGGTAAACTTATCATGCTTAAATATACTGTATATCTGACAAATGTATTGTAATCCATAAGCTCGTAGCTCGTAAATGTACTAATGGTGTCAAGAAAGAAATTTGCAGCTTCCTTAAAATCGCGTACTGCTATGCAATACGTTCCTTGATATACTTTTAAACGATTTCGTCTATCCCAATCTCCGCCTTCTTCTATCAGACTGCAAAAAGAAAGTTAATATATTTTGTACGCGTACCAAATACGCAAAATCGGTATTACATATAGCCATGAAAATACGAAATACCTTTTAGCCTTCTCAATGTTTCTAGTAATATGATCATGATCCAAATAAAATAACCCAATTCTAATATTATGAAAAACAATATCTAACCTATGCCCTAAGGACACAGTTTTATCGTAAGTTTTTCTAAACGCAGAAATGGCACCTTCTTTATCACCTATTCTACAAAGATGTTCAGATTTTTTAAGATTAGCTTCACGAACTTCCATTTCACCCAAATTCTTCTCTGCATCTTCGATCGCGTCATCCAATTTTTTCAACTGTTCCATATTTTTTACCTTCATAGCGGATAAAAGTTCTTCGTCGATTGGCCAATCCAAATCTTTGCAAACTTCTTTGTAAAATGGGGCCATATCTGTAAAAATTAATCGTATATTTTAGAAATCTGTCGGCGGAGTGGCAGTCAAATCAAAAGAATCATTAGAATAAAAAAAAAAGGTTAGAGTAAATATTGAAAAGTTTCTTAATTCGATAATTAATATAAAAAAATTATATAAATTGGAAACATTAAAAAGATGAGATATCATAGTGACGATATTAAACAGAAAAATACAGAAGGCGAGTGATTTAACGAAAAATTGCAATCTCACTTTCTGCTTTAATGGCATCTAACAATTTGTTCTTCAAAAATGGATCATCCTTGTGTTCCGGCAGGCTCAATAAAAATTTAGTCTGAGCCAGCTCCAAATTCGGATTTTTTTCCAAACCCTCTTCCTCTAAGTTTTCTAACGGCATCGTTAATTATAATCTTAATTACAGACAGCGACAAACACCACTATCAAAGTATCAGACACTGTACACTTTACAAAGCACAGGCTAAATATATAATACTCGAATCGAATGAGATGAAACGCCAAAACGCGTATTTCAATGTTTGCTCGATAGATGGAGAAAGAAATTGTTTGATGCTGACCATTTTTGATTGGTTTCTGAACGATGAAATAACGGAAAATGTAATATTCTTAGGAAATATTTGAAGGTAGCTAACGATTGGAAAACGAATAGGTGCTTAGATTTAGGGCTGTTCACGTAAGATGTAGTACATCTAGGTTGGACGAATAACGAACGCATAAAATTGTTCTTTTAACGAATCGATTTATTTTTTGACACAAACTGCCAATGAATCGGGTCAAGCGAGTCCAAAAAGAGAAAAGTATCTCCATAGGATTCGTTATATTTAAAATTTACAAGAGGGATTGTATAATGCGATTTCATTCATTCACATACCATACGATACAACGCATACTTGCGACTTCGTTATATTTTATTATTTTTCTAACTATGAGTTTGCGCGATACTACTTGTTCTTCTTTCGATAACTTCATTACGGTTATTTTTGCACATCATTATCGAAACTGATCGTAACAGTAACGAGTAGGTAATAGAAAAAAAAACGTAAAATGTAGTTGAAAGATTCTAAAATCGCGTCTGTTAAGATCGATTGGATAACGGAAGAACACGAAGAAAGAATAATCGAAATCTATTTTTGTACGATAGTCAAGTAAAGTTTGAAATCGCATTTGTTTCGATAACTAACACGCAATTCTTATATCATAGAGATTTTACTTTCAAATTCGATGAATTTTTCGACAGAATCGCGGATCGTTTGATTTCGTGATCGAAACACCAGGTGTCAGCGCGTTTCAACGCTGAGCGATATATCGAATATAAGAATAAAGAAATCTACTTGAAAATCTGTATTTTCTGATTCATTAAAATCCTAACTGCCATTTCGTTTCCTTTCTGGTGCAATTTCGCAAGGTCTCAACAAATGGGATAACCTCTCCAGTTGAATTTCTGTACAAGATCTGGGATCACTGGAATTGCTTTTGAAAGCATCACGTGTATGGTACGTATGTATATGCAATACGCGCACACACGCAACGTGCAAATGTAGCCAATCATCGATCGATAGTGAAAACTCGATACAAAGATCTTTGATTCGGAAGCTTCGACATCGATAATCGCGAGTACGTATGGTACACGCGACGTTCTCTTTCGTCCTTGACGAAAGAGAAACGTTGCGCGTTCTAGGAAAAAGAAAAAGATATCGTTTATTGGTAACAGAGAGACGATCGAATAGTTAGTAATTGAAAGGAGCCGCGTGCACGGTTGATAAAAATTAAATCGAGGAATTAGTGACGCACTTTTCTTTAAACACGGATCGGTTTGCCAACTAACTTCCGTAACAAATTAACGATGCAACACGCAACGACATTTAGGGTTACGAATTCAACTACGATAGTACGTTTATAATTCTTAACAGCGTGCACTTTTCGGAGAAGAATCAGCAGTAGCTAAAAAAAGTTTCCGCGTATATTTCGAGCATTACAAACGAACAAACGAACAAATGAACGAACGAACGAACGGGAAAAAAAAGAAATAAATCCGTAATAAGAAAAACTATGTATTCAACGTACGAAGCAATTTCACCTTATCGAACGTTTCGTTCTCTGTATCGTTCGTTCATTCTTTTGTACGAAGAATTTTCGAAGAAAGCGAAACCGGCTCGAATCTCTGACGGTGATCTCTTTTCAACCGTTCTACAGTCTGCGAAAACGTTTTGATCGTTGGTAAAGGATTAAAATTCGCGTAATGTCGTTGAAAACAAACGGAATTTACTTTAGTTCCGTCAGTGGTGAGAGAAACTATCGGATCTTCCTTGTTTGTTTCGCGTTCGATTTGTTTCTCGTCGATATCGTTAGGACGATTACGCTAGGAAGTTTACGCTAGGAAATCCGTAGTCTCGTTGCGTGCAAACAATTCGTACGAAACGCGTAGTCGATTTTCGGTTAGCGGTATAATTGAAATCCGATGTTTTAGAAGAAGAAGAAGAAGAAGGAGGACAAAATAGGGAATAAAAAAAGCGATTGAAAAAACGGACGGTGCAGTTTGTTTCCGGTGAAGCGGCGTGGAAGATCGTCGCGAATCCATTTCCGAGCGGAGAAGAATCATTGGAATCTAATCGCAGGCGGAGGTAGAGCAGAGGGGCGAGGTAGAGAGCAACGAAGTAAAATTCGAGAAGCGAACAACCATCCGTCGCCCCTCTTACCCACGGTGTACGAACAGCTACGGATACTCGGTAAGTACATTGTTGGTCGATACAGAACACATCTCGATACGATACCGAGCGATCGATACCATATCGATACTGACAATCGTACACGACAGAGTTTTACTATTAATTTTTAAAAGGTAAAAGCGAGCGAGCGAGCGAGCGAACGAACGAACGACAAACTGATCGAACGATCGATCGTTCGACTGCACTACTCGCGTTATAACATTAATGATACACCATTAAGTCGATAAGGTAGAATAATGGAGGTTCGAAGCGATTAAAAAATATGTCGGAGGCCAGTTCGGGCCAAGCTCTCTTACTCGCTTACGCTCGAATTTTCTCCTCTCTTTATCATTCTTCTTTATTCCGATACATCCGATCAACAGCGAAACCACTTAAATCTGTATAATATATTTATACTTAATATTTAAATCTTAGCGATCAATGTACAATCGGTTAATTCGATTAATCCGAGTGTTCGGTCAATTGATAGCGATGCTTGGTTCCGTTTCGACACGGTCGGCATGCGCTCGTATCCGTTCCTCTGCTTCCTTATTTCCTTCCTTCCTTTCTTCCTTCGTTCTTCCGTTTTTTCTATCTTTCTCTCTCTCTCTCTCTCATTCTCTCACTCTCATTCTCTCACTCTCTTTCTCTCTCTCTCTCTCTCTCTCTCTCCCTTTCCCTCCTCGTCCATATTTAATTTCGTTTCGTTTTATCATCGACAAACGATTAACACCGAGCACACTTACGCTACGACTGTTCCTTCTGAGTCGAAATGAATTCTGAAAAACATCTACTATAGATTAATTGTCGATCGTACGCGCGTTTGTGTCCTTGAGGCCGATAGAACAAAAGAAACATTCATTATATAGACATCAGTTATTATATCAACGATTTTCTTCATCTATACCCTGTGCATCATTTTAAATGTTTCAACACATCCTATGCGATTACTCGATAAATGTTTTTCTCGCTTATCGTAGATAGTCAATATATAATATTTATACTTTATGTATATTTGGTAAATATAAAGCGCGCGTACGCGTACACCGATATCCTTCTTCCCTCTTTATTTCTTCTTCTTTCCCTTCTTCTTCCTCCTGTCGTTCGTTTCTCGCGCGGTTTTCACGGTTTTACGCGGTTTTACGAGGTTTTACGAGGTTTCGCGCGGTTTCACGCGGTTTCACACGGTTTCATACGGTTTCACACGGTTTCGTGTACGAGTACGCGACCGCGTTATATTTCTTTCCGCTTTGCGTAGAATCATGCCAGATGCGTAATTTTACAGCGTCGATCAGCGACAAAAGAGGATGTCGGTTAATGGCATGCATACGTCTAAATCGAGTGTTGATGATCGCGTATCGATAAACACCGGTGATCCTCGATTGCTCGAAACACGCCGATGAAATACAATTAACGAGACAACATAACGCGATAACGATAAAAATGACGGTAACCTATGACATTTCACAGCGGCGTCGAGAGTCAACGATTAACCGATACAGAAAATTTATCGCAACGAGAACGACTATGGCTCTGTGTGTGTGTGTGTGTATTTGTGTGTGTTGTATGTGTATATGTGTGTATGTGAGTATGGCGAGTGCGAGGTACGAAAGCGAGGATATGTCTATCGAATCGACTATCGAGCTTTTCTTCGCTACGTATCTCTCTTCCGTTTCGCTGTTCACGCATCGACGTTTCGCCTCTCGCGATCGGTTTCGCGATCGGAAAGCTTCTCTCTCTCTCTCTCTCTCTCTCTCTCCCTTTCCCTCCTCGTCCATATTTAATTTCGTTTCGTTTTATCATCGACAAACGATTAACACCGAGCACACTTACGCTACGACTGTTCCTTCTGAGTCGAAATGAATTCTGAAAAACATCTACTATAGATTAATTGTCGATCGTACGCGCGTTTGTGTCCTTGAGGCCGATAGAACAAAAGAAACATTCATTATATAGACATCAGTTATTATATCAACGATTTTCTTCATCTATACCCTGTGCATCATTTTAAATGTTTCAACACATCCTATGCGATTACTCGATAAATGTTTTTCTCGCTTATCGTAGATAGTCAATATATAATATTTATACTTTATGTATATTTGGTAAATATAAAGCGCGCGTACGCGTACACCGATATCCTTCTTCCCTCTTTATTTCTTCTTCTTTCCCTTCTTCTTCCTCCTGTCGTTCGTTTCTCGCGCGGTTTTCACGGTTTTACGCGGTTTTACGAGGTTTTACGAGGTTTCGCGCGGTTTCACGCGGTTTCACACGGTTTCATACGGTTTCACACGGTTTCGTGTACGAGTACGCGACCGCGTTATATTTCTTTCCGCTTTGCGTAGAATCATGCCAGATGCGTAATTTTACAGCGTCGATCAGCGACAAAAGAGGATGTCGGTTAATGGCATGCATACGTCTAAATCGAGTGTTGATGATCGCGTATCGATAAACACCGGTGATCCTCGATTGCTCGAAACACGCCGATGAAATACAATTAACGAGACAACATAACGCGATAACGATAAAAATGACGGTAACCTATGACATTTCACAGCGGCGTCGAGAGTCAACGATTAACCGATACAGAAAATTTATCGCAACGAGAACGACTATGGCTCTGTGTGTGTGTGTGTGTATTTGTGTGTGTTGTATGTGTATATGTGTGTATGTGAGTATGGCGAGTGCGAGGTACGAAAGCGAGGATATGTCTATCGAATCGACTATCGAGCTTTTCTTCGCTACGTATCTCTCTTCCGTTTCGCTGTTCACGCATCGACGTTTCGCCTCTCGCGATCGGTTTCGCGATCGGAAAGCTTCCGAGCGAAGAGAGGAGAAACGTCTTCTATTCGGCACTTTTTCTTTCGTCTTTCTTTCGTTTGGCCCGACACGCGACAGCACGAAAAATGCCGATTATTATTAATTCACGGCGGAGTCGGAGGAAAGCTCATTAACGCGTTCACCGTAACATGTTCATGGGCCGTAACCAGTATAAAAAATTAATTTCTTTCCCTTTTTTCATTTAACCTTTCGATTTGCTATATCGAGTCGTTGCAGGCGTAATTTCTCTTAGCAATTATTCGAACGGTGAACCATCGGTTCCTACGCCAGAAGATTCTACGTTAACGTAACTCGTCGAAGCGATCTTTTAGCAAAATTACAATTTAGTATACGCCACGTACGAACGGAAGGGAAATCGCGCGATATTCGATACTTTCATCGATCCGTTTTCTTTTTCGATTTAATTCGTACATAAAATTACTCGGTCGATCGCGATAAACAGCCACGATTCAACGAATCGAATTGACTAGATTCGCGTTAAAACATACGCATGGTTTGCAATTAATCGCGTGCACGCGCGTATACGCGTTATCGCTTTGACGACGTAAAGTTACGGCGTAACGCGCGCATACACCAACCGTGTAGTACAATAACCGCGCTTGTCGCTTCGTTGATCGTAATCGCTGTTCGTAACGTTACTGAAACTCGCGAAAAACGCGTCGACGGAATTGTTCGCGACAAAATCTTCGAGACGAGAGTTACGCGCGACCCATCGTGGTCGATGACGAAGCTGAACGTTCCTCGCGCAACGCAACAAATGGATAAACGGTTAAATGGACAAAATAACAACGAATATACGCGCTGTATACGCATGGGCGCGAATTTTTGTAATTCTAACGAATCACGTTCGAGAAGCTGGTTCTTTCGCATCGATCCGTTGGAGCGGCAACAGATTGCGCGTATTCGCCGGTCAAGCGAAACAAGCGAAATATATTTCAACGATAACGAAAGCGTAACAATAACGTTTTTGCTAGACGACGCAAAATAGCGAAACTTTAACATCGCTTTTTCTCTACCCATTGTCGACGATCAACGCGAACGGAGGTGAACGGTCAGACGAAACGCAGTCGGTTCCCGAGGCCACACACGGCTGCTTCTCGATGCGCGTTAGCGAACGGACGAGCGGAAGAGCGGATACTTTTTCGAACGTGGACGCGTTCTTAGTCGTCTCGAGTAGCACATTGAGGAACGGAATCGATGGCGATGTTTTCGCGTTCGAAAGTACGCTAGTCTTTTATCGTTCACCGTTCACCGTTCACCGTTCGCGCGGCCGTAAATCGTACGCGCGGCCTGAAGCTCATCGACGCGTTACGCGAAAGCCTAATTTCGTGGCATGTGCGGTAGCAGCGTTCCTTCGCTAGCAGTTTTCACGGTTTCGAGCCGCGCACCCGTCGCTACTCGCGGCACGATCGTTACTCGAGCGAGACACGAAAGAAAGAATACGGGAATCGTTCGGAGAGAAGGCGAAAATAAAACGGCGAGACGGAAGGAGAGAGTCAGGAGCGCGGTAGAGTAGGAAAGGTAGAAATGAAAAAGGCGCGCGCAAATCGTGGTAGCGAGTCGCGGCAGAAAGCATTCGAGAAGCGTTTCGTTAAGACGACAATTCCGGCGGATCCTAAACGTGTAAAAATACGTAGAAAAGATAAACGTAGCGCCCGAATCGCGTAGCGCGCGTCGATTAGCTTTACATCGATTATCATACACCATCGTAGGCGAGGTCGACCGACGGTCTGTGATGAGAGGGGAGGTAAGAAGGCGGCGTGGACGTACCCGGTGTGCTGCCACCGACCGACGCTGTTGTAGCCGCCGGGATAATTGGCGCTGGGCGCGTGAATCCCGGCGGGCGGTGTCGGATACGCGTCGAAGGAACTAGAGTACGAACCGTTGTAGGAATAAGGATTGGCCATATGACCGAGAGACGGATGCATTCCTCCCATTCCGCTCATACCGCTCATCCCGTAAGTGCGTTGCATCAGGCTAGACTCCAGTCCACCGAAAAGGTATCCGTTCGTCGAACCCATCGGTACGGGATAATGAGGGCCAGGAATAATGTTCGGGTACGAGTTACCGGGATGCCCGTGTCCGTGGTTCATGCTGGGCGTATAATTGCTAGACGCTAGGTTTTCCACCGTGTACGATTTACTGTGTTGTTGTTGTTGTTGTTGTTGTTGCTGCTGCTGCTGCTGCTGCTGCTGTTGCTGCTGCTGCTGCTGATGTTGCTGCTGCTGCTGTTGTTGTTGTTGCTGCTGCTGCTGTTGTTGCTGTTGAGAATCCGGATGTTGTCGGCCGTTCATGTTATAGAGCGATCCGTAACCGTCGGTCGGAGAATGGTGCAACGAACCGGGATAGATCGGGCCAGCGGGTCCTAGCGGGGGACTGTAATTGGACATGGCCGCGTTAGGCATTCCGGAGAAGCCCGACGACAGGTAAGACTGATGATGCGCTTCCATCTTTTCCGCGAGCGATCCATCGTCGGCCATACCGGGATGAGAGTGGTGAAGTCGTTGAGTGCCACCGTCGGCTATACTCGGTATTTGATCGACTAGAGATTCCAGGTCGCTGAGACTCTTGGACGCGACGTCCTGGCCGGTGTTCCTCTTGATGCCGTATTGCTCGTGCGGATGGTGGTGCGGCGACATCGAGGCGTGGGTCGGTGTATGAGGATGCGTGTGCGGCGGAGTCGGATGGGAATGGTGCGAGTGTTCGTCGGCGGTTTGACTGAGCGGCGTCGGAGTGGTCTGATGAGGATGAGGATTGTGAGGGTCCGGGGTTTGCTCGTGATAGCCCATGTAACTCGCGTAACTCGTATGAGACGGAGTTCCCGGGCTACCGTGGTGGCCATGCTCGCCGTTTCCAGCCGGATTGTACTGACGATGATCGTTGTTCATGTTTTGTTGCGACATGCTCGTAGGAGGCTCGAAGTCCGGATGTTCGACGCTCGGAGAAGTCAACGGCGAGGGTTCCAGATTGTTTTCCGACGAGATCGCTGTATTGATCTCCGAGGACAGGTCGGAATGAGTGAACGAGAGGGACATGGATTTCGGACTTTGACTGTAGTGTTGCAAGTGGACCGGACTCTGTTTCGCGTTCACGTTGTACGGACTGTCGTTCATGGGCTGTCCATAGTAACCGGAGTCGTTGATCGGTTGAGGATAAGGCGCCATATGCGCGAACGTCTTCGGTGGCGAAAAGCAGTTGGACATCACGTTGCCATACCCGTCTCCCAGATGTCCTAGAGCCTGGTGTTGCTGCTGATGCTGCTGCTGCTGTTCTCGTTCGCGAATCTCGCGTTCTTGTTGTTTCTGTTGTTGGTGAATCTTCTTCGGACGTCCGCGTCGTTTCTTTATCACTTCCCCGTTCGCGTCCAGTTTCTCGGGATCGGGCGGCGGTTGATCTTCCGGATTCTTTATCTTTTTCGGTCTGCCTCTCTTCTTTTTCCCGGGTATTTGAGAATTCGCTTCCTGTTTCATGCCCGTTCCGTTCATCTCGCCCATCCTACTCTCCCCCTCGTTCATATCGTCGCAGAACGAAGGTTTCTTATCTTCGATCGCCTCCTGTTCTTTCTTCTTCAGCTTCGAATCCGCGAACACGATGTCGGATTCGTCCAGATGGGATATGGCGCCGTTCAAATAGTCGCGGAACTTTTTCAGCGCCGCGTAATACGGCACTTTGTCCGCCGCTCGCGGTAGTTGCGCGCATCTCGCGCTGCTCGACGGCATCACCCACATGTACTGCAATCGAACCGTTTAAAAATTATCGAATAATTTCTTTCCGTTACGCTAATCATTTTCTCAGCGAGAAACGAAGAAAAAATAAAAAGAAATACAATTTAGTCTCTTACCGTATTTGTACCTTCGACCAGGTTGGGTTGTCTTCCGAATCCGAACTCTTTCTTTCCGGAGAATACCTCGTATATCAGTTTACCGTTGAACACCGCGATCTTGGGCTTGTATTTTCGCAATTTCTCTAACAGAATGTGACTACCTGTAAAAGTATACGAAATCAGAATAGGAATATATTATGGTCAAGGAATATAATGTATTTTACTTTCTTTTCTGTTTGGCCGTTCGGTAATCGTGGCAGCGCGCCGTTCCGAACGTTTCGTCGTTATATCGGTCAATTATTAGGGCGCCTCGGTCGTACAGCTTAATTCGTTGGACGTATTAGAGACGCGACGCGACGAGAGGAAACGAAACGCGACGAGACGAGACGAGACGAGACGGGACGGAACGCGACGCGACGCGTGGACCGCGACTCTAGCGAGCAAGAAAATTTCAAGAGCGCTGGTTGGCAACACTGATACCGCGTGCCGTCAGTATTCTCGCGGCGACGATCGCGAAGCGAGCCGGTCAAAGTCGAGTCCGATCCGGATATCGTTGTTGCGATCGTTGCTAACGATTCGAATAGGTGCGCGAACCAACGACTTACCAACGACACTCGTCGTCGATCATCGAAGAAAACTTGAAAATCCCCGACGTTCGATCGATCGCGAATCGAGTTGCATCGTTCGTCGCGAGACTCCTAGGCATTGGCAGACGTCCAGAGATAGCAAGTAAGCGAATCAACATTTATCGATAATCGGTTTTTCCTCGAGTACCTTCTCTTTAAACGCGGGCGCGTTTCGCATTAGCGTTTGAATCGTTTCGTTTCGTTTCGTTTCGTTTCGTTTCGTTCGTTCCTCGATCTTCGAGGTTAAATCCGCTGCGCGAGCGCGGTCTCGTTCGACGTACCGAGCGGTACGATACGCCATAGACGTTCCGAGCGTCGAAGAGACGACAGAAAAATCTCAGTAAACTATTACGCGTCGAATCGGTAAAACGTTTCGCGTTCAAACTGTTTGTACGATCGAAAAGAATAGTCGAAGAACGAGACGATCGCGTCGAGAGGATAACTCGTTACAACGTATTATTCCGTTAGCGAGGAAATAAATGAACTCGGTCGCGCAACGAGAAAACTTTCTGCCGGCTTTTACGAACGAACGGGCCATTATCCGTTGACCTTCCGAAAGAGGTAAACGTATGTATCTCGTTGCTATGAAAAGAAATTTATCGAAAGAGAAAAAAACGAAACGGCATACTGAAATTTATGCGATGCAAGCGGTTCGGATAAGCGGCGCAGCAAACGAACGAGTCGCGATAATCGCGTTTGCTCGTTCGACCAGTTCGCACCTTCGATTCGCGATTTCGCGCGCACGAAATCGAAGGAACCCGCGCAAACGAACGAATAAAACTAGAACCGTTGAACGGTTAAACTCGACTCGCGGGAGAAACTGTGCACGCTGTTCGGATATGCACGGTTCTCGTCTTCCGAAACCGACTTTACGAGCATGTGTGCACGGTATGTTTTTAATATCGTTGCGAGCATCGCATATATGGCGGCGGGTGTCCCTGACTCAAGATCGAACCTCCGTCGCGTGCTTTTCTTGATCCGAAAACTCTCGCGAACAACCTCGTTATTTCGGTAAAATAATCGGGTATACCGACCTTCTTTGATTTCCTTCCTGGTGAGATCGGCGCTGCCTTTGGTGGCGCGAGCCACCATGTTCGTGAAACCGATACCGAAGCGCAAGAGCTTGTAATCGTCATCGGCCGTCAGTGGTTCGGGTGTCAGTCCGCTCAGGTGTAAACACTTCCCTGAAAAGAGTCGTTTAATCGATCGTTAAAGGCGACGAAAGGGAAGGCTCACGGTCCGCTTTTCCAGTGTTCGCGGGAAACGCGCCAAGTACCTTCGTCGTTAAGTTCGACCGACATTTACACGGGTCGACGGGGCGAAGAAGGAGGCGGAGAAGGAAGAGAACGACGAGGAAGAGGAGGAGGTGGAAGGGTGGAGGGGGCGGTGAAGGTGGAGGAGGGGACGAGTAGAAGCGGGGAATTTCAATAGGTCTGGGTCAAACATCGTCGACAAACTGTCTGGAACTTCGTACCCGCGTTCCGTAAACTCCAGCCGATAAATCGGCCCTCGCGACGCGGCCGAAACGGAATAAAAAGATCGCGTTCAACGACTTACGTCATATCGTACACCGTACAAGGTTAAACAAGGTTCATCCGTTCGTTCGGTTTTCGCTGTTTTTTCATCGAATCGTTTATTCGTTCGCGCGACGCGTTTGATCGTAGCGATATAAACGGCGATAACTCGCGAATCGTCCGTAGAGTCGGAAAAAGAGGAAGAGAGAGAGAGAGAGAGAGCGTGTGAGAGGCGTGCGTCGACAAAAGAAGAAAAAAAAAAATGCTCGTTCGTTCGGCGTTAATTACCACCCTCGTAATCCTCGTATTTTTGCTTCTCGAGTTCCGTGCCGTAAAACATCGGTTTTCAGCGCTTTGCGTCGTCGCGGCAATTTAGAGAAACTACTTGTCACCGGTAGTTAACGGGGACGGTGTTGGTAGCGGTGACGATGGTGCAGCAGGTGTTACGAAGCGTACCGTTTAACGGATTAAATAGGTCTGGGTCAAGCTTGGTCTTTGTTTTTTTTTTTTTTTGCCTCGCGCGAGTTCTTTCTTCCTTTCTTTTCGTAAAAAAGAAAAAGTGCCGCTGGTCGCGGAAGATTCGTCCGACGAATTCGAAAGAGAACCGCTCGTTCGCGGTTGCCCTCGAACGCGTCGAATCGATAGCTATCTATCGGATCGTCGAAGAAAACGGGGAAAGAACCGTTTCGCGTCGAAAAGACGAGAAAAAGAGATTTCGAGTATTCGCGGGCCGAGAAGAGAAAAAAAGAACGAGAAAGGTAAAAGTATAGAAAGAGTATAAGGAAAGGGCAAAACGAAAGTAAGCATAAAACGTGGAGCGAAGGAGCGAGAGAGAAAGGTAGTAGGTAGGTTGGCGCGAAATTACAGACGTCGCCAAAGTATATCCCGCGAACGTTTACCCCCGGCAGTAGCAGATAGAGATTTATGACGCGGCCTCGGAAATTCTCTCCCTCTTGTCCTCTCGTTCTCTCTCGCCTTCTCTCGCACCACCGACCTACAGCCGCACCACACGACCTTGGAGAACTTTGGAACAAAGTTAAACGCTCGTCTGGCGTGGCCGTTGCCGTTCTCGTTCCACGCTTTATACCGAACGGAGAAGCGTTCGTTCGCTCTTAACGTCGACTAGGAGAGAAAAAGACGCACAGCCGTTTCTCTGAAACGAGAAAAACCGTTAGACGGCTGGATGTCCGAGATACGTTCGCGCGCGCGAGGATCCTTACGGACGGTACGCGAACCGAAAGGGAGGTGCGTGTACCTTCTAACGAGACTAACGGCCGATCGAACAAACTTTATCGAAGCGAAACACCAGCCTTCTCTTCCCTTTCGTTCGCGACGCTAACCTAACCCAACTCGACTTCCCCCGACCTTTCCGTCGTGCTCGTTGCCTCGACGTTATCGTCTCCTCGAACTTTTATAATTTCCCCCTTTCGCTTCCCCCGGCGAGCAAACTATCGCGAGTCTCACCGCATCGCGTTTCGAAGAAAACGAGAGCAAACGATTGGCCGATCCGTTCAATTTTACGCTCGCCGCGTCGTGCCGCGCTGTTCGAAAGTTTCAAAGTCGAAAGAGTTCGGTTGTCCCTGTTCGACCGACTTAACTTCGGTTTCGCCGACTTTCGCGGACGATCGAGCGCAACAGGATCGCCTCCCGGTTTCGCGTCTTCTTTACTCGACGCGACGCGGCCCCACCGTTTCCGCCATTTCCTGCGTTATCGTATTATGCGAGTCGAGATAATACGATTCAACGACCGGACGATCGAAATCGTTCGCTTCGAAATCGCCTTTCCGAATTTCAACGACGTCGATTCGCGACGGATCGAGAAATCTGATTGGTAGCGAGCGACGCTACACCCGATACGATCCGTCTGGAATTCTCGAAATTTCGCTGACCCAGATTTTTCGTTCTTTTCCTCCGATTCCGAATAAACGGCTGGTTCGAGTTCTCGCTGCAGGGGATGCGAGGAGAGTCAGGTGAAAATCGATGCAACCAAGAGAGAAGGAGAGAGAAAGAGAGAAAGAGAGAAAGAGAGAAACCTGTGCGTGGGTACCGCGGGAGACCGCGCCTGGAAAATCAATTTTCAGGGTTTTCCAGGACGAAGACCCGTTCGCAGAGACGTAGGAAATCGTCGAGCGCGTTCCACGACGACGCTCTCCTTTTTCCTCGACGCGTTTCCCAACTGCCACAATTTGCGAACGAGCACGTATTAACCCTAGACGCGCTACCCGTCGTTCGCCTTTCAACAATTTTAACCGCGACGTTTTTATTCTACGAAAGCGTGCTCTCGATGCTCGAGGCAACGCGACGTCGATTCTTCCAGCGTCGAAAGAGGCGCGGCGCGCTTTTTTTCGCCTCCGATCCGATTCGATCGCTTCTCTCGTCCAGTTTCGCACGGTTGTTTCGTTCGGACGGCGGGCGTCGGGGCATCGAGTACCGATCGTCGGTCATTCGGCGCGGCGCCTCGTTCGCTCGTCGACAAAGGGAGTCGCGCTCGCGGTTCGCTCCGAGCAAAAGTCGAACGTCGTCGATGCGGCGGAAGCTTTTTCATCGAGGAATTTCGAAAAGATGGGGTACAAAATTGTAGGGGGTAGCGAGCGTGCACGGACTGAAAGCTGCTATCGAGCGGATAGGCGTGCGACAACCCCTTCTCGGCTCTCCCGCGTCCCCCTCGGCCAGCTCTGGTTCCCTTTTTCCTGCCCCTCTTGCCGCCCCTTT